CGTGAAAGCCAGGAACGCGGCCGCCGCCCCACCTACAGCCCCGCCGCGAGTCACCCACCCGCTCGCTCGCTTCCCGCCTTCCCTTCCGGAGTAGCGTGAGGCAACTTCCGGTAACGCCGGGGCGCTTGGCGCCATCTTGGATTTGGGCAGTTCTGCCCTGAAGGAGGCGGAGCCTCGTGGAGGGAGCTCAGCGGCTGATAGAAAGGAAAGCCCGCGGGCTCAGCAAGAGAGCTGCAGTGTCGTCCATTTGTTCTTGAAAAAAGTAACACCTCTTTGTTTCAGTCACTTTGGAAAAATAAGCGTGACATTGGAGTAAAGCAAATCAATCTTAGAAATGAGCAAGATTGATTCCCAGTACTGGAAAAACAAAATAAAAGATGTGAACAAGAAACTGTCTTGGAAATCAGAACCAAGGATTCTTCCTGACTCCGGACAAACCTTTGCCCCTCTTTCAGACTTTCTGTTAATCTGTAAAGTAAGAGTATTGTCCCTTTTCATTGCGAGTTCTAGTTCCTGTCAACATGACTCATCGTTAAATGCATGTTACATACAAAATTCTCCCCAGGGCATCGTGGTGCACACCTGTTGCCCCAGAATTCCGGGAGGCTGAGGCAGGAGGATCCAGGTTTGAGCCCAGTCTGGGTACTGTAGCGATGGGACGAGACCTTGTCCCAGAACAAGTAAAGAAGGGCTATGGTTACACCTTGGTGCGAAGGTGCTGGGTTTGATCCCCAAAAATTGTTTAAAATCTCTAGGGCAAATGCAAAGATGTATTTACTCAAGGTGAAAAGTAAACAAAGTAGTAAATTCAGATATTTATTTATAAAGAAAATAAAAGAATGAAGTAGGTCCAGGCATGGTGTGTGTACCTTCAGTCCTGAGACAGGAGACTAGGGTGGGGCAAAACCTGCCGAGGTAGTGTCACCCACGGAGACCCAGAACACACGCACAGAACACAGAGGGAGACCCAGGACACATGCGCAGAACACAGTTCCCGGCCCTGCCCCTGGAACCAATCAGGAAGTGCTCTCTTCAACTCTTCATTTACATCTGGTGTGAAATCTAGCAAGTCCTTGATAGGACATTTTAGATCTGAAGTCAGGCCAGGTGGGCTTCTAATAAGACAAACGTCCCAAATTCTGTTTTTGGATGGGAGAGCAGTTTCTAGGAAGGCCTGGGGGTTAACCTCTTGGCAGCCATGAGCCTTCCTCAGCCCCCCATCTCACTCTGCAGTGTATTTCTTTTCTACCTTTAATAAACACAAATCCTTGTTACCTTTCTTTTTCTTTTCTTTTGGTTTTTTGAGACAGTCTCTCACTATGTAGTTGAGACTGACCTGGAACTCACTATGTAGCCCAGGCTGGTCTTGAACTCACAGCGATCCTCCTGCCTCCGCCTCCCGAGTGCTGGGATTACAAGGGTGCACCACCACGCCCAGCTCTTTTTTTTTTCTTTTTCTTTTTCTTTGATAGCATCTTGCTAAGTAGTCCGGGCTGGCCTTCACCTCACTATGTACCGGGGATCAAACTCTGGACCTTGTGCTTGTGAGGCAGGCAGCAGAACCACTGAGCTAAATCCCCAGCCCGATTTTGTTACCTTTCTCGAGTCTCTTGTCCAATTCTTTCTTCAGGACACCAAGAATCTGAAAGGAATTTCTTCAGAGCCCCAAAACCCAGAAATAGTCCTAGCTCCTTGGAGGCTGAGGCGGGAGGAGCTCTTGAGCCTAGGAATTCAAGGCCTGCCTTTTTTTAAGGACCTCTTCTCAAAAAGAGACAAAACAAATTATTTTTTGTAGCAAAAAAAAGTTGGCCTACTTAAGAAGAACAGTTGAAGAAAGCCCTCTAAGGACGTGACATTTACAGTGAGATGTAAAGCTGAGGAAGCTTTGAGAAAACCCATCTGTACTTGTTCTGGGCCATGAAAGACCTAGGAGCTAGAGCCTGGAGTGGGACAGGGAGCATGGTGTGGAAGGATTGTGAGGAGGAGGAGAGGACTTTGAATTTTATGATGAATGCAGTGGTAAGTCATGGAAGGTTTTAATCAGGGGAGGCTCATGAACTGCTTTGCTTTAAAGATTCTGTCTTTCCAACAAGTGGTGCTAGAGCCATTGGTCTGACTGCATGCAAAAGAATAAAGTTGGAGCCAGGCGTGGAGGGGCAGGCACTGGGGAGGCTGAGGCAGGAGCGTCACCAGGAGCTCAAGACCAGCCTGGACAACACAGTGAGACCCTGTCTCAAAACACACACACACACACACACACACACACACACACACACACACACACGAAGTTGGGCCTTTACCTCCTAACACATACAAATATTAACTCAAAATGGATCAAAAACATAAGTGTAAGAGCCCAAACTGAAACGCTCTTACAAGAAAACCCAGAACGCATGTCAGTAACCTGTCCTTAGGCAGCTTTCTTAGCATGAGTTCCAGGCCAGGCTGGCTGCACAGGTCCTAGGTTCATCCTCCCAGATGTCCCTTGGCCACGAACTGTAGAGTGGCTTCAGTTTTACCCGGCAGCATCTGACACGCTTTGTCCTGCACGGTCCGAGCTGACTGTCTCCCACTCTGCGTCCCCCACACAGGAATGCTGCCTGCTGTGTGTACTCCCTGGGTGAGTGCGCTTGCTATGGTGGCCTCAGACCTCAGTCCCGGCTTGGCCCCCGGGCACGTGAGATGTGAGTCAGCTACTTCTGTGCACTTTGCTTTTCTCACCTGAAACATGGAACGGGACGGAATCAGAAAGCGGGGTAAGTGCTGGGCACAGTGCCTGGCGTCTCCTTAGCCCCGAACCAACCTGGATGTGAGGGGCGGGGAGGGAAGGAGGCTGAGTTCCGTAAAGCTCTGGACCCCTGCTGACTGGAGGGAGGAAAGCGTGAGGAGGGGGGAAGGCCTGGGAGTGGGGTGGGGGAGCAGCACTGCTGGATCTCGGGAGAGGAAGAGACACCAGGAGGAAGGAAGGAGGGATGGGTGCGTGGTGGCGCTTGTCTGCGATCCCACCACTCGGGAGGCTGAAGCAGGAGGATCGCTGGGAGTCTGAGGCCAACCTGGGCTACACAGTGAGACCCTATCTCAGAAAACCAAAGCAAGCAAATAAAGAAAAAATAAAGGAAAGAAGGAGGGAGAGTAGAAGGAAGGAGGGGGGACGGCAAGCAACAAAATGTTCCCATTCACAACAGATGTTGCTATTTCAGCGAGGCCCAATTGCAAACCACAGGACACCTGCCCATGCCCCCTAATGTTCCCGTCGTCCTGCGGGGCGGAATCCTGCCCTTTTCCAGAGCAGCAGCTCTCGTGCCCTCCCCACCACAGGAAGAAGAGACAGACGGGCGGGCACTGCTGCTGGACAGGAGGAAGAGGGAAGGGAGAGGAAGACAGGGAAGTAGGGGCGTGCTTGGGTTTTGATAAAAGGGAAACATTTTTCTCCCATGGTTTTCTTCCCTAGGACCTCTCCCTTGAATCCCTGTTGAAAAGTATATCGTGCATCATCTCAGCACTTGGGGGAGGCTGAGGCAGGAAGATCGCTGTGAATTCAAGGCCAGCCAGAGCTACACAGTGAGTTCAAGGACAGTCTGGACTATGTAGAGTGAGCGCTTGTCTCAAAAAAAAAAAGAACAAATACTATGCCATTTAAATACCCAGCATACAGTAAAGCTAGCTCTTAAATGTGAGAAAATAAAATAAGAACACTCGTTCCTTCAATGCGATGTGTCTGTCTTGCCCATTTTTAGATTCCCTTGGCCATGGCAGGCAGGGTTCCTGTTCCCAGAAGCCCCCCCGAAGGGGACATATGAGGCACAAGAGCTTCCTGTCACTGGGCAGGCAGGGTTACCATGGGGAAGGAGAGAGAAAAGGCGGTGCCCGTTCCCATGAAACCACGGGGGATTCCCGGAGCACCCTGAGAATCAGCTTCCAAAACTCACGCGAATTTATTGTATTGTCTCCATTAAATGAGGTGGTTGACAGGAGGACGTGGGTTTTCTGAAGAAGGTGTGGACCAGTATCTTTGGAAAAACTGCCAAGAAAGTGAGACTAGGGTAGCGCTGTTCAATATGTGCTCCACACCCAACATCACAGAATAATAGATGTTGCTTCGTTTAAAATGTTTCTGGCTGTGTGTGATTAGATACACTTGAAAAACCGCTTGTGTGTGTGTGTGTGTGTGTGTGTGTGTGTAGCCCAGGCTGGCCTTGAACTCTCATGATCCTCCTGCCTCAGCCTGCAGGTGCTGGATTACAGTTTGCAGGGTTGCCTGGCAAACTTGGGGTCTCGGGCTGGGTGCTGTCATTCTGTGCTCATGGTGGGAAGAGCCTTCCTTCCTGGAAGACGAGGCGCTCTCAGGACCCCTTGGTCCCTGCCCTGGCTCAGCTGGACTTGGTCCAAGCCTCCTCTGTCTGAGAGGGGGAGGCGGTGAAAGACTTGGGACCGGAAGGGCCCGAGGGGGGAGCTGGAGAGACGGGGCCCGCCCTTCCCTTTTCCTGCTGACCGACTGGCAGCTGTCACGCTGCCCCCCCGCGTCCTCCCCCATCACCCCCAGAGGGTGGCCAGGGGACCAGCCAGGGTCCTCTCTGCATCCTGAGTACCTCAGCAGCCACCTTCCGCTGTGCTGAAAGGAGCCGTGACGCCCCTGCACCCCACCCGGGTCCCTCCAGGTGCAGCTGCCGCCTCTCTGAGAAGCAGCGGAGAAAAGGTCAGGGAGGGACAGGGCCACCGCCGATGTCTGCCCGTTCCCACGTCCCAGGGGCCGTGATCAGTACAAAGGGTGATGGTGCTTGAATTTTTAAAATTTACTGCAGTAA